GAGTGCATGCATAAATCAGTTAATGGGCCCTTAAATTTGTTAAATTACAGACTGTACCTGCCCTAAAGCCCTGGCATTATTTTTTCAGGTAGAAAAGGAATCTTCAAAACACAATCAGGATTACAGATAGCATATTTGAGTGGAGTGGACAAATCTGATGCTCCAGAGGTATAACACTAGATTATGTACATGTACAGTAGATCCAAGGAACATTTTGGGTATTTATTTCTTCTTAGAAAATAACCCAGTGGAAATATATACGGCATTTGTGAACTGTGATAGAATGCTAGTAGATTTACATGATTGTGTACTAATAAACAATTAGATTATATATGGATAGTGCTTGTCCGTCAAAATTTTTCTGTAAACAAGCCGAGTTATGGAAAATAAACATTTGAAATTGTATTAAGTAGGTTTTTCTCTATTTTCTTTTTCAAATTTTACATTTGGCTGTCACGGTTTTCATCTACAAAAAAGTTGAAAATAATGCAATATGATTTTTGAACTGGTGCACGGAAGAAAATTTTTAGTGGTGAACAATAAACTAAGACAATACTGTAACAGTAGAATGTTTATCTCATGGAACTGTCGGTCTGATAGTTGCCCTTGGAAATTTGATATTCTGAAAACTGGCATATTTGCCCTTGAAGCCTTGCTTCTTGGGCAAATATTTGTTGTAAGAACATCAAATTTCTATGGGGCAACTATCAGCCAATAGTTTCTCGACAGAAACTTTCTATTGTTTAAAAACATAGTGGGTAGCGTAGCCAATCAGAGAATGACATATGTGATAGAATGCTAGTAGAGTTACACTAAAACCCAACAGAATCACAGAACTAGCATGAGATGTAGTATGTTGACATAATGATGGCTCGAGCAAAGAGAATTTACATTTTGATGATCAAAGTAAACAAGTTTTTTTTTTTTTTCATCACAGTATTTTCGAAAAGAAATAGAAGAAATGTTCCCCGTGTTTTTAGCGAGTTATAGAAACGCTTGTGATGGTTTGGGAGAACTCAAAGAAGCTGTGGAAACACTTTTATCAGTTCATCTTCCCACAGCATTTCTCGTTCTCCCAAACTTCCACTCATGTTTCTATATACATGTATAACTTGACAGGCTTAACTTTTCCATTTCTTAATTATCATTGGTTTTTCTCTTAGGAAAGACCTGTAAAGAACCCTTCTAAGTTCAAAATAGTTTTTATTGCTGCTTTATATCCGGTTAAATGAATTTTAAATCCTTCTTAAGTGCATTTCTTTTAATGTGTGTGTGTCATTTTTTCTTGCTTTTTTTTGTTCTGTTTTGAATAAAGGAAGGTTGTCATTTTACTTATGATGATGTGACATCGTTAGAGTCTCTGTGCGAGGATGAAAGTTTTAAAGGGTTGGACATTTTCATCTCCTCATGTTGGCCAAGAGNGAATGCTGCATATTATTCTTTTGTTAAAGGAAGGCGTTGATCCTGACAGCTGTGGTTCAAAGTTAGTGTCCAGGCTGGCAGAGACCCTGAAGCCAAGGTACCATTTTGCTAGTCGCGAGGGAGTCCATTATGAAAGAGCACCTTACAGGTAAAGAAGGAGCCTTTTGCTAACAATTTAATTACCCTACATACAGGACTGTACACCATGTACATATATTTACAAGTACACTGTTAGAAGTGAAGTCATCTTTTCAAGCACTTGTGCATGAAGTTCAGGTAAATATAAATACATGCATGTGTGGTGTTTTGTGTCTCCTGGCACAAAAAGGCGATGATGATGATAATGACAAGAATGATGATGATGATGATAATGATGATAATGACAAGAATGATGATGATGATGATAATGACATTGATGATGATGTGTACATGTGATGATACTGTTCAGTGTGATTGCAACTGTATTGCACATGATTTTATTACATTGTCGTGCATTATTTATTATTTATTTTTTTATTGGTCCACCAATTGGCCACATGACTTGTACACTGTATACAGTCAAAAACCCGCGTGTAAGAACCTAAACTTTTAGAAACTTGTTAGGCTAAAATTTCACACTCCAGCAGCCTTCACATAAGAACCATTCAAGGCTAAAATCTCAATACAGGTTCTTATTTTCAAAATACGGGTGTTTTTTATCCAAATATAACACAGTACATGACATGCAGTACAAAAAAAGGTAACAAAAACTAGCCAGAACACTGGCATTGTTATAAGCACAATACTGTACTGTGAATGATTCAATTAAAAGGCCAGACCCATGAGTACAAGTTGGGTTTTTTTGAACAAAAACTTAAGAACCTGATTAAGAACCGAGGTAGCTTAATTTCAAAGTAAAAACCTTCTTGATCTATATAAGAACCTATGGAGACTAACTCGAAAAAACCTAGGTTCTTCTACCCGTGGGTTTTTACTGTATTTTAAGCGTTAAAAAGTTGCAGTACAAACTGAGGTGATGTAGTAACTACTTCACTCTAATTCAATTCAATTTTGGTTAACTTCAATTTGAAAGGAACCATCAAGTGTTACTAGAGGCTGCCCAACATGTGACAAGATTCATTGCTCTTGCCCAAGTTGGGAATCCAGACAAGAAAAAGGTAAATGAAAGCGTGTGGAAATTTCTGTACAGTTTGATTTTCGGGTTGAAAAGCTAAAATTTACGTACTGTACGTCATAAAGGGACACCTGTGACTACTCAGTGTATCATACTTTTTCATGTAGTCACAGTCATCAGCAGTGACCAAAAAAGCAAGCAAACCAACAAACAACAAACAAAAGTCAACCAAAACCCCCAAACAGAATACAAAAAAAGGGGTCTAAAATGTAATTAATGTCAAAAGACAAACTAACAAGTAAATGCACAGAAATTGTCTGGTGTTAAGTATTACTGGCAGTTACAAGTGCTCTATCCAAGCCTTAAGGTCGGTACATGTTGTGGGGATGTGAAGCGGGGACAAGCTCATACCTGCGTTCTGGCTACGCAAGCCTACCAGTGCCTGCACTGCGTCGTATTTACTACTTCGTGAGGCTCTATAACTATTCTATTTGCAACTGATTTAGCGTGGCTGTCAATATTCCAGCGTGGCTGTCAATATACCTGGCCAGTTTCTAGTTATTAGTACGTTGTTCTTCCAGTACATGTACGCATTCAATATCGTACCTATGGCGTCCGTGGACAAGAACGAACTCGTCAAACAGCCGCCAGACGTCACGGAGTTTCCTTACAGGAGAGTGCTTACTGGTGGTGACGTGAACACAGCTGACAAGCGAGGCAATGTTCAGCAACAAGTGAGCACTCCTGAATCATTTACATTTACATTCGGATTCTTGCAAAGTCACCCAGTGAGATGAGTGCAAGATGGAATGAACATTGGTACATTATAGCAATCACTATATATACTGTGTGCTGACTCCGCATCATTGTAGCAATTAAGGATTATCATGACTTGTCTTGCAGGCCACAACGGCCGGTCAGAACTTCTTTTTTGACATGAACAACACAGGAAGGCCGCAGGGACCTGGAAACAAACGACACAGGGACTATCATGGTAAGCAGTGGGCAACGATCACGCCTTTCTGGCGTGACGCGAAAAAAATCGCGAGAGAATGAGACAACGCTGCATCACTTCTCAGTTGTCACGCATCACGCGTCACGCTTAACTAAGATCTAATTAAATGACTAAAAAGGGTGTGATAAGAAACCAAGAAGTGCACGTACATGTAGCATGCATAATTATGATTCGCAGGAAAAAAAGGTATATTGTTATCAATTAGGATATTCTATTGTTTTTGGAAAAGGTTCGTTATGTTTATGTCATGAACATGAGCATCCATTGCAGCATGCCAGGATTTAAAGACGATTTCTAGTCCGTACTGCGCAGTCTCGGCACCCTAATGTTTATAAACATTGTAAGTCTCACTCGATGGAATGCGATCGATGCTATTCGTTACGAAACACATACCTTATCTTTGAGGCCTTTCAAATTCTTTTTCCAACAGCCTCATTGATTTTTACAGCTGCGAAGTTGTTTTATCAAGTGATATGAGNTTCTCGGTATTGGAGTGGAATTAGCTTGCAAGCGAGCCTAATTCGGGGAGTCTTTTCAAATGCAAATGACATTAATCTCTTTTTAATGGTATTCCCCCGCGTGAACCTCCATTGCAAGCTAGTTCCAGTCCAATACCGAGAATACGAATAAGGCCTGTTATGCTATAAAATTATTCCCAGAGGAGAAAGACTTTGTGACATTCCGTAACGTTACCTGTCTCCTATCTCCTATGGCCTCAATTGCATGACGTACAACGCTTTTGTGAGTCACGCTGTAATGCTTAAGGGGACCACACTCACAATTTTTAAACCTTTGCAACAGTTCATCTATATTTTGTATTTTCGTTCCCAGCTCCCATTAAGGGTCCCTGTTGGTTCTGTCTGGGAAGTCCTGAGGTCGAGAAACATTTGGTGGTCAGTGTAGGAGATGATGTAAGTACCTTGCTGTCAATCAGTTGGATCACCTGTCTAGGGACTTTATTTCAGTCATGCATTGTCATTCAAGTGGTACTTCCTTCACAATTCATCTTTATTACGTTCTTGCACAAAATTTGCTTGGCTTTATACTTAGATAGCTGCTGGAATAATCTAGCCCTGTTGACTACTTTTGGTATCTGAAACAAACAATGTTCTCGACCATTTACTGTACTTGGAAGTGATCACCTGTGTCAAACTTAACACACTGTAGGAAAGTAATATTCACACTTTGACTTTTATTACATCTTGTTCTTGCTCTTCGTGTTCATAGTCTTATGTAGCCTTGGCCAAAGGGGGTCTGGTACCTGATCACGTGCTGATCTGTCCCATCGCCCATTTCGAGTCAACAGTGAAATTGACAGAGGTAAGGAGCTGGCTTCGTTTAGAGGCCCTAGCTTTTATTTCTTTCATGTAATCTCCAAACATGCCTAGAAAAGTTTGTAGAGGCCATTGAAATGAAGACACTTGAACTGACGAATATGAGTTGATATTTTCGACCAAGATGTCTATTGCTATATCTTGTAATTACAGTGTAACAGTTCAGTCTGCCAATAAAGTTTGCCACTATAGTGTATCTTTATTTGTTGTGTTTTTAATTTTTGTTGGTTTCTTTGTTTTTCTTCAGCCCAGGTACAATAGCCCTTATCATGGTCTTTTTGTATTTTTGGTTGTTTTTTTTTTTTTGCATCATAGCGTAATCCAACGTGAATGCGAGGCAATCGCAGATATGCACGATGGCGTCTTTTGACGACAACTACCAAAATTCAAGTAGTTTTTCCTGTATTATTTTAAAAATCTTGAAGCTGCAGTGGGGTTTAAATAACAGTTGCCCTAACTGCAGACGCGAGAACAAGAGAAAGTGAAGGATTCTGATAGGATAGTTGTAGGCCAATGAAGCCACCGTGCAAATCGCCTCTTTCCAGCAATTTTGTAGTTTCTACCCGGAAATGACTCGCATACACGCTGAATTTTATTTTAATACGAATACGAAAAATTAACCATGAAAAGGGGTATTGCAAACTTTCCCCAACAACTAGAACCGTTATCAAGGTGGCACCACGGGGAACAAACTTCTAGCGCTCTCTCTTGCTCTTCGAATAACGCAATTTTTGTTGTTTTCGCAGGAAGTTCTCATGGAAATTGAAAAATATCCTTTCATATGAACTTTTAGTCAGTGAAATTGTGGGATTTCGTGTACAGGCTAAACTAAAGCTGCTATATCTGGTTAGGTTCTTTAACTTAAAACAGATACAAGAGAGCTCTTCGAAAATTATTCCACAGTGAAGGGAAATCCTGTGTTATCTTTGAGAGGAATTTTTACACGCAGCACCTCCAGCTCCAGGTAATTTAGTACTTTAACACTGCCGTGTGTGAAGATCCTGTGAACATACCTCTGATATATTTTGTGTGTGTGTGTGTGTTTTCACTTTTACGCATGTAGGAAGGGAAGTGTCAGAGGTCCACATGTAAGCTAGGTATGAGCGCGGGCTAAAACTAAACGTACCGTTCATGAATGCCCATCGTGGATCCAGTTAGCCCAAAAGCTAGACATGGAATAAACTATATTTGCTTTAATATGGACTGTAACTTGTATACATTGTTGTTTTAGTGTATCTTTATCATCTTCTCTCTTATAAGTTAAACTTTTTCAGAATTCTTGGAGGCTGGAGTCAGTTGCCTTTCCTCCTTGCGTTTCAAATCTCAAGACGGCACAAGTTCTTAGTCCGTACTGACTACCACAGCATTCTATGTACGGTCTTTGAATTTGGTGGAATACCAACGCGATAGATACAAAAAAAAAAGAAAAAAACTAGTTTAAAAATAACGAAGATGTCAGGAGTGGGATTCGAACCCACGCCTCCATTCGGAGACCAGAACGCCCGCTCCCATTGTGTGCTGGGAAGGTGATTAACCTTGAGTCTGGCGCCTTAGACCGCTCGGCCATCCTGACAACTGCTATAGACTGTAGCGGATAATGACGTTATTAATTAATGTGCTGTCCATAGGTGATACCAATACCTCGCACGGATGTGGAAGAGTTAAAGGATATTTTTAGGGAACACGGAGATTCTAGTTCCTTAGCGATGAGGGACGTGGCGGCCAACACAGAGCTCAAGCAGGTGACGCTCGTCTATAAGTAGACTGTGAGTAGTCTCTCTATTGCTCGAAAATCCGCAAGGTAAGAACGCAAGCGAATAAGCGCGCTACTCGCCACTCCCGGCTTCGCCTCTCGCCTCTGCTCGTTCGCTGACCTTTGCACAGTGTTTTGCGTTTGTTTTCCCGCGGATTTTAGAGCAAAAGAGAGACTGTTCGCAATCTAATGCATAAGTAACTGATATTACATGTAATATTTGACAATATACGTCTGTGCATCTGTCTGTCTGTCCGTCCGTCTGCCCATCCACCTGTCCGCGGATTTTCCTCCCATGGGTTTAATATGAAGGGTTTTTTAGATGTAACACTCTTGCTAAGTATGCTTACAAGAGGCCCCGCGGGACATCTGGTATTTTCGCGCGCGTGAGGTCAATATGTTAATAAGACTAGCAGTTTAAATTCTGTGGCAACGGTCAAACTAACATCCTTCGAGTTATATTAGAGCTAGTCATTGTCGCTGTTCTTATAATTTCCTTTTCGCGATCATCGTCAACCAGAGGTCAATCATTCATTTCGGGAAAAAGCTGTAAGTTTGTGTTTTTCGGGGTTTGTCCGTTCAGCCGGCTAATGTTGTAAATAATTGTTTATTTTTGTTCTATTTTCAGTCAAACTCGTTGTCGTGAATAAACTTAAACGTTCGTTCTTTTTTAAAACGATGTTTGGAGACCGATCGAGATTGGCTTGGCGATATGGCGGTAACATTAGAGTCTGTCGGTATGACCTGTTATTTAGGTTCATTTAAGCAAAGCTTATGAAACCCACCAGCACAACAACAACACAGCATCAGCAACAGCTATAACAACGAGATCAACAGTAACGAAAACAACTGTTTTAGCTTGTTTCTATCTTTCTATAAGGTTGTTTGTTGTTCTTGCAGGTTGTGCCAATAGGAGCGCCTTATTTTGTTGTTGAATTTGATAACGAGGAGAGACTGCTTCACAGAGTCTCACTGAAGATGCCTCTACAGTTTGGAAGGTAACTTAGTCCCGTTTTGTTTCACTGCCACACCTTCTTAATGTTAACATACCGAACAACAAGGCTTCTTTCCTAGCCGATTTGTAATCGTCTGTTTCGAGTAACGTTTAAAGCTGCTGCTTGCCATTTAAAGACGTGAGAGCTCCTCGCAGTTTAGGCGGTAGCGAGAATCCTAGAAAATATTTCAAGCTTGAACGGGATATGTACCCTTCTGTGATGTCCCTAAATCTTCATATTATATAACGTTTGATATGTTTGATTGCATACAGCAGCTATTTTTCAAGGGTCTGATTCATGTTTTTGCAGTTGCCGTGAATGCACTTGGTAAAGGCAACTCAGATTTTTACGATAACTACGGAAATTCTCGCGCGCTCATTGGCTAATTTTAATTGTCAATAAGCGAACGGACACATGACTTTATAATTTATGCGATGCGGCAACGAGCGAGAGCGGACAGTATGACAATTTGTTATCGTTAAAAGCAATTTGAGGTCAGTTTTACATGCGTCTGTCCTGTTATTGACAATGAATTTCGTCATAACATTGTCAAAGTAGTCTGCAGATCCACTTGGCTATCCACAGCTACTTTGACAATGTTATGACGAAATCAATAACAGGACAGACGCATGAAAAACTGACGTTGATTTGTTGATTTACGGATGAATCCATACAACTTTAAAAACACATGCTAAACGTTAACTAAAGGATGTGATATAAAAAATGTTTGATATATCACGCTCTCTTGCAGGGAAGTTGTCGCCAGTCCCTCTCTTCTCAACTTACCCGACAGAGTGAACTGGAAAGATTGTAAAGTTTCCGAGGACGAGGAGAAGAAGATGGCCGCCACTTTTAGAAAGAAATTTCAACCGTACGACTTCAACTTGAGCTAGTATCGAGATGGAACTCAAACCGTGAATGAACAATGCGACATCGGTTGCCGCTTGATTTTTCACACAAGATGTTCTCCAAGGACCAGCCGATGCTGAAACACAGACTAACACGTACAACACGCGTGCCCCTGTACAGCTTATAGCAGAACAATATCCCAAAGCGCACTGCATAAAGGAACGATCATTTCATAACTACTGTAGTGTTTTCTCCGAAGTGAATATCAAAGCCTTAACGTGCTAGTTTTCTTTCAAGTTGCGTTTAGTTTTGGTCAAAGATACTCATTGTGGTGAATATCGTAGGACTAGGAACCCATCTGAATTGTTGATTGGGATATTTAGCAATTGTTCCACGAGCGCGCGTTGGATATGAAATGATACATAGCCAACGAGGCGTGTAGCGCCGAGTTGGCTATAATATCATCTCATATCCAGCAAGCGGAAGCGGAATGATTGTTTTATTAGAAAAGCGCCAAAAATATAGAAAACTAAACTAAAATAAAAGTAAAAAGGCCCCCCAAATATTCACGCGTACGCTTACCATATTTGCAAGGAGGGTGGGGGTAGGGGGGTNGGCTGGGGACATGGCCCAGGCACTGGCCTATCTGCTGGTGGTTTGCTGGCGGCCAGCTGTCAAAAGCTGGGGAGAGGGGAAGGTGTCTTGTACTGACACCCCCAGCTAGCTAGACGTTGAGTTTTCAGTGTTAAATAAGCTTGATATTGACTGTGTTTCTGTGTATTTTACTTAGTTGTTGAACCTTGTTTGAGGGTTCTGTGTTGACATGGCACCCTGTTGGCGTGGTCCATGCCACGTGCATGCGTGACGGGCCAATCTCTTGGCCAGGGGGGTGGTCAGATGACTTCTGGCCGGTGGGACTGTCTTTGACTTGAGTCAATGCGGGCATGTTTTTGCGAATTCGGTCAGATGTACTTTCCACACAAACGTAACAGTGGATATCGACCCAAAATAAGATTGAATGCACGAGGTTAATCGTTTGGGAGAATTAAATTGCGACGGAGAAAATGCTCCATCTTAACCCCAGAACGAATAGTTACCTTTTGAACAAATGGCCAAAGACACCAATATATTTGATTTTCGCTCTCTTTTTTTTTCTTCGGAAAGGTTGTTTCAAATTCTGAATTATTTTCGAATCCATAGTCAACCCATATCTCTTTATTTTGACGCTCTCAATTCCAAGCCCGCTCTCCCCTTCCACCCCAACCCCCCCNGGGGGGGGGGGGGGGGGGGGGGGGAGGGGCAGCGAGAACAAGTGCAAATGTCCCACCCATGGGACGGCGTCAAAAAGTTTTAAGTATTTCAACAGATATTAAGATGAAACTTTATTTTGCCTTATAAATAAGCTTACACCTTACAAGCAAAAATATGGTCGGTATTTATCACAAAAATGTGAATAACTTACCTTCAAAGGTTTCATTAAACATTGTAGGCCTTTATATCCCAACCAACGAGCCACAAATTCCCTTATTAGTCCCACTAAATTCGTCAACTGAACTGTTCGCCATCACTTCTCGCCTCAATTTTCTCGCACGTGGAGGACCAGCATGAACTTATCGGGGTGGCGGTGGGGCACGAGCTAGTTTCCAGTGCATGGGCTAAATCTCAGAAAAAAGAATTTATATTTACGTTCTTTACGCAGGGTTAACCCTTTTGATGTTTAATTAATAAAGCAGGCTTGTGTTTTTGAAAAGTACCGATGTATAGTTCTTTGTCTTTGACTACATTGTCAGATGTCCCAACGCAGGACAGCCCTTTGCGAGCAAATTCCCCATGGCGGGGACCTACTGCTCATCAAAAGCCCGGGAGGTAGGGGTGGATGAGTGGGCTTGGAATTGACAGAGCCATTTCGGTTTAAGAATGGATTACTTCAATCATATATGATGATAGTTCCCTTCGCAGCTGTTTTTTGACTTCTCAAACTCATTAATAATTCATCAAGTTAAAACAAAGAAAATCACAACCGCGAAGGAAGTTTGGATACCCGGTTTAGTTAGCATAGGTTTTGACGATTTTACTTCTCCGTTCACTCCTTAGTTATTGTTTCGATTGAGAAGATATATCAAACACTTGAGACTGTGTATCATCGGTTATCCAGTCATCTCGAATTTCGTCAAAAATATTCCACTGTGCGTGGTATTTTCAACTCACTTCTCGGTGTTTGGATGTCTTGATGAAACATTGTCTTTAGGGTTTGATATACTTCTTCCTGCTGCCCCTCTGCAATATCGGACCCTTTTTTGTAAGACAAATAATCAGACAAAAGAAAAAAAAAAGCGCATTGTCAGGAGTGGGATTCGAACCCACGCCTCCATTCGGAGACCAGAACGCCCGCTCCCATTGTGTGTTGGGAAGGTGATTAACCTTAAGTCTGGCGCCTTAGACCGCTCGGCCATCCTGACAACTGGGTATGAAAAGTGTGAGTATCAGGCTTTTGTTACTCGAGGGGTAGGAGGAGGAAACACCCGGCAAAGAAAAGCCTGACACAAGGGTCTTTATTGCAGTCTTCCACCTCCTCATAGCGTGACAAGAGTCAATGTACGTATTAACCAATGAGAATCATTTCCGGCTGTCATGTTACTTTGCATGCATCACAGATGACAAAGGCGAGATTTGTCAACCTTTGTAAATTTAATAAGCATACAACAGTCGCAATTATGGCGATGTTACTGCTCCTCGGTCTCATCTTGATCTAGGTCTAATCGCTAACATATTTCGTAACTTCTTTAAAAATTTACGTCAAGATACTGACCTTATCTGTGATTTTTATCGCTAGTGATGACAGTTTCAGAATAAAAACTAGCGGTAAAAAACGACGTTTCCATCTCTCTGAGATCATTTTCAAGTTGAAGAAAAACCAATGAAATATACATATATAAGTACAAATTAGGGCGTGAGAATGTCAAACGATAGCGCTTGTATTTACATATTTTATCGTTTGACATTCTCACGCCCTAATTTGTACTTATGTATGTATATTTCATTCGTTTTTTCTTCAACTTGTAAATGATCTCAGAGGGATCGAAACGTCGTTTTTTACCGCTAGTTTTTATTCTGAAATGTTTTTCAAAAAAACTGCTTATAAGAATTTTAAAGCATGACAGTTTCACACGAAAAGAATTTGTCCCTTACATATGTCTGAACGCTTAAGCAGACTTACGCTGACTTAGCTTGACTAGAGCCAAGAAAGACTTAGTGTGTAGTGTGAACCCAACTAATATTTGAGCAATTTTCTTCCATGTTTTTAATGGTTTCCCAGAATATTTGCACAATTTGCCTCGAAAATTTTCACACAGAGAATGGAAGGTGTGTCGCCACAGTACCGCTGTTTTCTGAAACGTCTGACAAAGAGTTTTCTAATGTTTTGCGTGAAAAACCTGCGATTCTCGTGGAATTATTGCTCGAGTTGAGAATTGTTGTCATTCACTGAAGATCAGTGAAGACGGCAAATGGTCTGTTTGCAAAAAAGTGCACTAGGAAAGTAGTGAATTGCTACAGAATGTTCACGGAGTTTCGGGAGGCATTTGCGGGTGGTGGGGCACTCGACCAGGCGACGGAAAGCGCTCCACGAACTCCTTCGAGAGCTAGTCCTAGAGGTTCAATTCCTGTTCGAGGCCAGCGATTCCCAACTGGAGTGACTCCAAAGGCGAAGCGGCAATAAAAGAGGCACTTGTGAAAATGAAGCTGAAGGAGGTCAGCGAAGACCTTCAGCAAAGAGAGCTCTGTTTTCTGACCAATACTCTGAGCTCAACGATAAAATAACAAGCCCTGAACAAACCTGATGAATATCGCGACAAAAAAGAATTTACCACCAATCGAAATGCTTTCACTTCCGGTAGTGTGACGTTATGTTGCATTGTGTATTATCCAATCAGCGTAACATCCAGATTTTGCGATGTTCGACATGAGCCAATTAAAACGTTTGTGTCAGCCCTGTCTCTGCAATTTCCCCCTACCCCTACCCTCTTGCTAAGAAAGGCCTGATACTCAGGTTAGGGTATGTAAGGTGCAAAATCTTAATTAAAGTTTCATTGTACGCTTTCCTGATGCTCAATTTTCAAGAGAAAACGAGGGAATAAGCAATTATTAGATGACGGTTTTCGTCATATCCAGAGTAATCAGGCGATGTAAACGTTGAAGAATTTATTGGTGATAGGATTTACATCGAAAAGTTTGGATTAAACTCATTAAGAATACCAATCTAGAAACCAGACACAGAAAAAAGGCAGGCTAGAGTAACTTAAATGATCAACAGTCCAGTACTATAAGTGCGTAGTATTTTGCAAGATGTCAATTTCACCGAATATTTCATTTACACACGCTTGAGTAATAGAAGTCAATTCCGGAAAAAGGTTAAAGAAGAACATTTCTACAAAATACTAGAATTTTAGTAGAATCGTTTTGACTTAGAGAAAGCACAGGGAACACACAATCTAGTTGGGTAGGAAGAGAGTAAATAAAGGAAGGAAAAGAACGAATAGTTTACTTTTTGCTTGTTGTTATTTCTTACGCGACCTTTTGCAGGGAAAACCGCTACCTACAAGTCCTGCGTAACACTGTTTCGTAGTGCTAAAAACTTGTAGTTAGGCCTTTTTGCGCTCTGCAAAAAAATTTTTGGGTTTCTCCAGCTTGGCCGAATTTGTTTTCGAATACAGTCGGAGAATTTTAGCGTCTTTTGCAAAGTTTTTTTCTCAAATCGCCTCCCCTGTAAATGTTATATGTAAACCAAAAAAACTTTTGCAGAGCGCAAAAAGGCCTAAGTACGAGTTTAGCAGTACTGTGTTACGCAGGACTTTTTCCCTGCAAAAGGTCGCGTAAGATTAAATAACAACAGGCAAAGGCAAACTATTCGTTCTTTTCATTCCTTTATTTATTCTCTTCCTATTCAACAAGATTGAGTGCTCCCTGTGGAGAAAGAATTAAAAAAGTTAGCTCTATTGTTGGTTATTAGTTCTTCTGAAAAGAGAGCTGCACGTATACTAAAGAGCTGTATTAAAATGTTTCAGCCGAGACAGCGCTAGTAGCGCTATGTGTATGGCGGAATTCCTCTTCTGAATATATATCTCCCCTGACCTCACTTTCGCCAAATGGCAGACGCGTTTCCGTCCAGCACACAGATAAACCTATGGAAACTTCAATGGAAGTTTGGGAACGTTTTCTCACAGACCATCTGCTGAGGTCTTGTTCGGTTGCTCGTGTTGCAAACAGAGTAAAGAAACCAGAAACGAGTTCATAAGCAGAGATAATGTAGGAGCTCAAAGCATTCTGTATTGCTGAATGCCTGTTATTTATTACTCGGCAAATGCTGTAATTTCCAGTCACATTGTAAATCCGGAAATTGCTAGAAAAACGAGGAAAGTGGGAGAAGGTCAGAGTGAAAAAGAGATCCAGTACCCTGGTGTTAGAGACTTTTCACGCGCGGTTCCCGTAACATGACTGGGATCTTTATTATGAGTCCTGATGTCAGCCGAAGAATCCCAGCGTATGAGCGAGAAAAGAAAAGAGGGAAAACCCTGGTAACAGGGGTAGAGGCTCATTGATTTCCGGAGGCAATAAACTGACTGACAACGAGGTAATTTCGTTAGCGATGGAATCAGAGGACCCGAGACTCGAGCAGTCAGCGACTAGAGATTGATATTTAGCGGTGATTAAACATGAATTTGTCACAGGCCATTTTCGATGCATTTAAATTTACGCACACAGACTAAAACAAAAAAAATCACAGTGAGGTTGACGCACGAAAGAAAATCTTTTGTCTTAGTCCTGTAAGCCTCGCTGCCATGTGATGTTAGAATTTAAATGTACTGTAATTGGCTTATCATTCCTAGAGTTTGCATTCCTCTCCTCTTTCACAAGTTTCCGCATCAAACACCTCTTTATTCACTTTTAATGCAACAAACAGTTTTGTCTAGTATTATTTTGCTAAAAACATATTTTGTCTAAATTAAATCAAATTAAATTTTTCTTACAATCACGTGTATTAAGTCACACATCGATAAGCTAGCATTGCCAGTATAAGCCGATTATTTCTGGGTCTGGCTCAGAAATAGTATAATTAACGTGACAGTTACAACCACAAGCAGGACTACGTCGTGTAGTTGATATCCCCCTTTTTGCTTAAGGTAATGCAAGTCTATACGCAATATTACCCCGCTGGGGGGGGGGGGGGGGGGGGNAGAGGGTATGTTCCCGGGAAGGAATCCCGTATAAAAAGGACAGGGGTGTTCGTCGTACCTTTTAGAGGTTAAAGGGGTGTTCAGCCTCAAAAGATCGACAGCGGGAGTTTAAAGGTCCACAATGAGAGCTTCTGCGGTACCTTTTAGGGATAATGTGTCGTTTAGAACTGGTATCTCTCAGGGGTCAAAAAAAAAAAAAAAAAGATTCAAGCCACGCCCACAAAACAGGATCTTGCTACCTCTTAGGGGTTCTTTTCAAAATCTCCGACGAGCACCCCCGTCCTTTTTATATGGGAGCCCCCCCCGGGGGGGATATTACCTACAACTAGTTCAATTCGAATTATCTAAGTATATCTTGATTCTCTATCAATGTAAACCTACTTCTCTAAAATTGACAGTTAAGGGGCCAATTAAGGTTTTCCTCCCAACAATCGATTAAATAATTTAACTTAAAATTGTACTGTTTATAGTATAAAGTTGCAACTGCTTTTTTCCTTTTGCCACGCCCGTCAGTGTAAGTTCCACTCAGTGTGAACGTGTACTTATTTGCTTCAGTTCACAGAATCATACATCCACCACCACCAGCTGGCGGTGGAGGAGGGGGCCGAGACTTGAGGACAGTGATTTGCTTCTGCAGCTCCGTGATCTGAGCATTTCTCTGGTCCATTGCTTGGCGCATCTGATCCATTGTCTGCTTCAGTGTTTGGTTCTGCTCCACAATGGCTTCCCTGTCTTTTCGCAGCTCGTCCATGTTTGCTGTCATCATGTTCTGCATTTGTACCCTCTGAGCTTCCATGTCCGCTCTAAACTGCTCTTCCAAGCGTTGTCTGTCTTCTTCTTGTTTGGCCTTCAATAGCTCCATCTGAAAATAGCATGATATACAATTTCTTTTTGTTTTTTCTTTTTAAATTTGGTTCCCCTCAAAATCATCTTAGTCCTTTAGAATTATTCAAGCACCGCCCCGTCCTGAAATCGATGACACAAGCGATATCACATGGAAAACACACATCAAATGCATCCAGATAATGTAGTCCCCCTTTTCCGCTGCGGTGTAGCTGACAACATTTATGCTTTTCAAGAGCCATAATTTCATTAGTAACTTAGTCATCCAGACCTTTGGAAGCCGCTGAATTTCACACAATAATAGCTTCCCCATAGCTCTACAAGATAATACTTTCCATTCCCACATTGCAATATGCTAGGACATGATGGCACCTGAAACACTAGGGAAGGGGAGGGGGTAGTTATTTTCTGGTTCCATTCCAGCTGGAATGATTTATACAAGCAGGAAGTACGCTCAGATGACATTCACTACCGTCTCAGACAGTGACTGGACGATCTAACGAGATCGGAGAAACTTTAATAAATAAATAAATAAATAAATAAATAATAATAATAATAAATTTAGAGGGTAGCAATTGAGAGAACAACATACCTCCTTCTCTTTAGTGCGCCGCTCCTCCTCCAGACGAGCATTCTCTTCCTGAGGTCATCGAAACGCAGAAAATTAGTTTTTAGTTATCAGTAGTTACTATCGCAGTGCAGGTGGCAAGTACCACTTTGGTACTGTATAGAAACCACTTATTCGCAATTGTGATGTCATCTCACATCAAACCCAGTGTTTGCCCTCGGGGGTGTTTACTGACACTAATATCTTCGATGAACTCCTTCACTTTATTTGAATCGGTCTGATACGAGTTAATTGTTAAATATTAAGCCGTTTACTAAAACAAGGAATGGGTGACAAAAAATGTTATTTTCTTCGATGAAGAATTGGTGCTTGAACTGTTAGTTTTCCGAACGCACCCTGACATTGGTAAACTACCTAATCAACTTTTTGTTCAATTATTGTTTATTTTCTTTTTATTTCCTCAACATAAAAACCTAAAATCCACATTTTGCGGCATTCCTGACGTTTTCGATTTTGCTTTGGTTAGATTCCCCAAATTGATCACAAAAGGACTCATGTTTTGAACAATGTGGTCATGTGATTAACCTGACTTTTTTGTTTTAGAGAGGATGTACTTATATAACTTTCAATTGGAACCCCAAGTAGTTTTCAAGGTTGATTAACTGATGATAATCTGTTGTCAGATAATTTTGACAGAAATTACCTAACACACCGAAAACGGGTTCAACCTCCGATTATGTATAAACGACACCGATTTACTTAGCTTTGTTTTTACCTCCATTCGTCGCCTTTCCTGCTCTTGACGAGCCTTTTCTTCTCTCTCCAGAGCCAGAGTCTCGTCAAAGTCTTTAAGCTGTTGCAAGTGAGCCATGTGCTTCTCCATCTCTGCCTGCATTTCCTGCAATGCATGCCATAAGGAATAATCAGATATTGAATGAATGAATGGTAGGACAGCAACTTTTTTTAGAACACAAATTAATGATTGAGAAGCAAAAAGGGCAGCAACAAAAGTAAATGAACAATACGAGAACAAAACAACATTTACAAGAACAGCAGCCACTGACATGTTCAGCGGGGAAAAAAGAGGTTTGGTCTTATGTAAAAGAATACCACATAGCCGAGAACTTTTACACCGAATGTTTGCAAAGTCAAAACTTTTAAAGGAATTACAAGAGTCAGAGGCTATCGCAAGAAAAATAACACTGAGCGCTATATGGACTGATGAGAACTCCACCGAAATACATCTACCTGGCGCTAATGCAATGCATGGCTTGACGATCTTAGTTTCCCAGTCTACTTTATTCTTTTAAGTGCCGATTGTTGAAAGGGGCAAAATTGAAGACTTGATTTCAGATCTACAGCTCATTATTATATTTCTCAGTGAGCACGCACATTTTGATTGGCTAATTTAGCGGGCCGTAATGTACTCAACGGCCCGCTAAAATTTAATCTGTTTTTGTTGCCAAAATGTTTCGTGATTCATCGCCAAGTGTTCTTAACTTTTATAGCAAGTAAAACTTTCTTTTACTTCTGAAATTGTGTATTAAAACCAGCTAACGACTTAAGAGTCACTTAACAACGATCTCAAATTGACCTGTTTTGCTTGCGAGGTACTTCAGAAATTTGAAGCCGTTCCGCGTGAATAGAAATCGTTCCCGAACGCGTCAGACACACAGTAGAGATATAATAAATATCTTACTAACCTCGTCTTCTCGGTCCGTACTGTAAGTTACGGATCCTCGATTTTTCCCCCTTTGATTTATGGCCCGCGCGCTTCGCGCGTGAGCCATAAATCGATGGGGAAAAAACTCGGTCCGTAACTTACAGTACGGCCCTCGAACTCGGTTAGTAAAGGGTATGTATACATTCTCAGGATAAACGTACCGGATGGAACTCGTAGAACACTTGAGCACACACATCCTTGGCGCCCTTAGCGTCGCGCTTAAAGCCTTGTTCAATTGCTGAGTAACCTCCGATGATTTGAGCAAAGGTCACTGAGGCTCCATCTTTGCTACTAAGCAGTGTTAGAATGGGATCCAGTTGCTGCTCTTTGAGACCTCGAAGCAACCTGTAGCAGCCTTCCTTGGTCAATCGATTGTTTTCTTGCTGCCATCGTTTCAAACCACTTTCCATACACTCCTAAGGAAATAAACAGTTGTTATCTGTGTTGGTTGACAATTATTTTTGTTGGCTTTACTAAGATTAATGTAAGTGTACACACCATATGTTGATTCTATAATACAACATTATTACTTCTCAAACTCATTAAACATTCATCAAGTTTAAACAAATGAAATCAAGACGGTGACGGTGTTTGGATATCAGATCTTAATTAGCATCGATTTTTACGATTTTATTTCTCCGTTTTCTCCTTGTTCTAGTACTAGTTTTGATCGAGAAGATATATCAAAGGCTCAAGACAGTGTCTGACCACATTTCCAAACACCTCGAAGTTCGGGAAAAATACTCCACTGCGCGTCCTATTTTCAACTCTCTTCTCGGTGTTTGGAAATGTGATCAAACACGGTCTTTCGGGTTTGATATATTACATAAAACCTGCACTGAACTTTTAATTTCCTTTCAATTAAATAACTATACTACCTGAAATATTTTGGCCAGCGCGCAACTTTATAAACTCAATTATGAGGATATGGTTGGACGAGCTGTAATCTCACAAATCGGTTAAATTATCATATCATTGATTACTCAGCTATTTCAGCTCAACTTCAATCCACAAAACGCATTTTGACACTCTTAGCCGAGGTTTTGCAATTCTCAGGTCTCGGCTACCGTGTGGCACTAAATTTTCGGGGCAGTTTAATTCTGCGGATGGGCGATTTTTGTATTTTGTGGGAACTAATTTTCGCGAATGTGAAAAACTGGCGTTTCGAGCTGGGTATCAATTTTGGCTGTTTTCAGATTGTGGCGTGTATTTTAAATACAACATTTTCAGCGTTTTTTTCAATTACACTACACGGTAATCACTCACTCTATCACAACTACGCCTCGCCCCAGTATGGCTGATAGTACCTTCAGACGATCCTTTTCTTTAAACTTTTTAGCAGCTACACCTGTAGTTTGCCATGGGCAGTTTCATCGTTTTATTTAACGAGATGTTTTAGGCGTCGTCCACACGTTTCCGGATATTTTTGAACCCGCAACTTTTTCTTTCCGAATACGGCTTCCGTCCACACGCATCTGGCAAATTCGGCAGCGTATCCGGATACTTCTTAATCCGCTCTCCAGAGTGGAAAAAAAAAAATCCACAACGAATCCGATAACGTGTGGGCGGTGAATCCGGGTATTTTCGAATCCGATGACGTAGCAAAATCGTGTCCAGTCTCTTACCGAACAATAAACCAATATGGTGGCACAACGTGTAGGCCTAGTTTCTCTTAAGTGAATCCTGATACCATCGCATGCGTGTGGACAGGCGAATTCGATTTGAATACGCTATGTGTGGACGGGGAAATTTTTGAGTCCGGAAAGAAAAAGCTACGGATTCAAAAATATCCGGATACGTGTGCACGGGGCATTAAATAAATGGCATCGACAAGACTCGATCTACATGTGAGTTTTGTATTTATAATTTCGCCAGTAGAGTAAATTTCTGCGGAAAAAAATTTTTCTGGGAACTTTAATTTTGCGGGAACTTTTTTTTCAAATCGTGGGAAAAAAAAACCCGCGAAAATCGCAAAATTAGAGACTCGTAGAATTAACTGGATCTCATACGGTATTTCAGTTAAAAAGCGCGTCATTTCTCGCACAGACCAACAGTTGAAATTTGATCAATTCACAGCTATAATGTTTGACTCCGTGCTTAGTACTATTACATTAAAACAATAATAACAAAAACAAGGACAGAAAACTATATAGATTTGTCGTTTTCTTATATCAAGTTCATTAATATCTTCTCATTATAAGTATGTGCTCCAAGACAATATACCAGCAGCACTGTTGGTTCACTGGCCCCATCGCCAGACTGAATGCCAACCAACATCCCAATATGGCATTAACGTGGGCTCCGTAGAGAAAGAGACGACGTGGTAGACCGAGGGACACCTGGCGCAGAACAGCAGAGAAAGAAAGGACGGCCTCTGGTTTTACGGATGGAGCAGTAGTGGCTGCACGTGACCGCGTATTCCGATCAAATACCCCCAAGGGGTTGTGGCTAAAAGTAAGCTCCAAGACAATTAAAGTACCAAAGCATTTATCGGTATTGATAGCCCCGTCGAAAAGAAGAAAAAATTGACATGTGCATGTCGACAGACCAATTTCGATAACCTAAAATTCTAACTTGGCTTCGAGGCTTCCAATGCAAGAACAATACACACACACACAAATATTATTCTACCACCAACCTGGATGTAATTTCTTTTGTTTCATTTCCTAAGCCTTGGAACCAAGTTAGAATTTAAATATATCGAAATAAGCCTATTGACAATGGTAGTAAAAGACCATTTTGCGCAACTAGATGTACCTTGACTTAGCCCTGACCACCCCGCATTCCTCGCGTTCGTAACATATTCAAGCGTGGATATGTAATTGTACAGTGCTAAAAATTATTCTCCCTTTTTTTCTTACCGTGAGCTCGTCCAAATATTTTTCACTGCTTGTTGCCGATACTCCGAAGGTTTCTCCCTGAAACAGCCTCATGCTTTCTTCGATCGCAGTCTGCTGGACCAGGCGAATCTCGTCACTGTCGCAAGGCAGTACACCATCCAGCTGTGACTCCATGTAGCTTTGATACACCTGCAAAGCGGCGACTTTTGCCTCTGAGCACTTTGTGTGGACAAACGTCTCCCAAGCACTCTGCACACTGGGCACAGTACCAGGAGTGTTCAAGGCCGCAACGTAGATGTTGATAAGGGCTGCAAGTGCTTGGATGAAAGAGAGTACAGTAATTAAATAAATAAAAGGCAGTCACGTTTTAGTTGAAATAATATGACCTGGCTTGGTACCGCATCGCTGCAACTTGGTAGATATAACAGATCTGTCGTATGCATGATGTATAAGGGAATTGTAGACAAGTAAAGAAACTGTTTTTGACACCCGTTTCACGTATGTAGATTTTGTCACACGCGGACCTAACTGCTGTTTGTAGACGCTTATAAAAGGTCAAGATAACGGTGTTTCACTTTCTAATGAATGTTTTTCAGTGCTTCTGATTAATCCAAATTCGCTTGATGTGACGAGGCAGTGCACTGCAAACGGCAATGCATTGGCAATGCATTGGGAACTTTAAAGTTAGTGAAGATCTATGGTGAAGATTTTCACTTTTTTCATATTCCTTGCGCAACGTAAAATTTGAAAAATCCTTCCTTAGATTGACGTCAAAGATCTAACAAAAATCCAACTTAGTTTTTTGACAGTGAACAATGATTCTCATACTTCAGCAATTGTAATCTGCACCATCCGCATCTGAATATTTACACCGAATCGTATATTTTTGGTATACTTCGGCGGCATTTCAGACAAGTTTGAATTGGTCGAGCCATGGTTCGTATTTTGGCGAGACGCAGTGTGTACCCATGGCAAGACCAACCGAGCCATATTAGGTCAGTGACTTGATATCGCAGGATATCAGGAGAGTAGACACGGCTTCTGATTAGCTAATTGTGATTTTGTATGCGGTAAGAACCAAGAGATTACCAACCTTGGTAATCTCTTGGTAAGAACTGAGTACAATTCTTTACAAATAGGAATGTAGAAGCATTTATTTATTTATTCAAATAATTTTTAGCCATTACCTTCACCAGTGACATACTCTCCATCATTAAAGCTGCGCTTAGGCGCTAATTTAGACCTGAGCATCGCTTTGAATTCCTGCACCCCCCGGACAAACGATTTGTTGATATCTTGCTGTACTTCCTCTCTGTTAAGGTTTAATACCACTTCCGGGTCCGAAGCCGGGGGAGGAAGCTTAAAAGCGTCGAAACCAGGAAAGAAGTTCAAGATACTCTCGGCTACTTTAGTGGCTTGGTCACCTTTGGAATCTGATGTAGCATTGAAAACCTAGAAATAAAATAAAAATATATTAATTGAAGCGGGTGCACGTTTTTCAGGGAAATGAGAGATTCCACTTAACTTCGAATTAATTGATTTGGGTCAACAAGCTAAAAATAAACATCCTGGAACGATCTTTGTTTGGATCCTATGCGAACACGCCGTACCGAGTACCTAAGAAGTTACAATCAGCGGCTTGTACTACTCTAAGGGTGCGTTTTCTCGAGATGGTCCGCACCAGGATCAATGATCCAGGATGACTCGGGTCATGGTGTATCAAAGGAACCAATGAATCTACTCTGGGAAATGATTCATCAGTTCTTTTGACGAGCCATTATCCTAGTGATCCCTGATCACTGATCTTAATCCGCATTATCCCAAAGAAACGCACCGTTCAATTCCTGTACGTGACAGAAACGTTTTCGTTAACACGAACAAATAATATTAAACAATTAGATTATGAGCTCGAGATTTCTACCGCGCCGTCGTCAACTATCACGCATAGAAATCTAGAGCGAATAATCTTATTGTTTTAGTATAAATCTATAAGATCTAAATCCTCTTCACAGACACTTCGAAAACGTAAAGCAGCGGCCGCCAGTTTGTAAACAAGAATACTGGTGAGTAGCGCAGCAAATCATCGAACGGCATTCGTGATAAAACGCTGGTAGTTAATGCCATATTTGTTTGAACGATCTATGACCGATTTAGCCAGTCTAGAATTAACGTATAATTCTGTCCTTGATCGCTGTTAAGTATACCGCAGGCATAGAACAAACCTGCCTTACTTGCCTTAGGCCCCGTCCAAACTAGGCTGGAGAAATTTGAAAACACAGATTTATTTCTACGGTTAGGCCTACCGCCCACACTAATCCGTCATGGAAACGGAGCTTTTCGAAAACGCTTTTCAAACTGGAATTTGAAAACGCCGCGTTTGAGTTTTAGTGTGGAAGGAAGACAGTTTGAAAACGGGTTTCGAAAAAGATGCTAAGTTGCACAAATCCAAAATGACCGGTGATTGTTGCGTTTTTAAATTTCTCCCGCGCAGTACAGTATGGACGGGAAACGTTAGATGCGTTTCGAGAGCGAAAACACCGTTTTCAAATTTCTACGGCGCCGTGTGCACTGGGCCTTAGTTGCCTCAAGGGCCAAATAGCGGTACTGATCATAAATTATCTTGCCTTTATTTAATTATTTATTTTTATCATAATTGGTATTTAAAGACAGAGAGGTATATACGCCTGAAACTTCCTGCATGAAGGAAACCTCTGTTCATATTAAGAATATGTGCATAAAACAGCTCTTTAGTCATAAGGTTGTAGATTTTGCTACGGCTTTTCGGGTGCGGAATCTTTTCGGGACCTTCGAGAAACGGGACCTAGTGGGGTGGATACAGGATTTTAGAGAAGGGGGACTCGAGATACGGCCCGCCGAAAATTCCGGCAGTCTGAGGCCAAGTCAGCCTCCGTCCCAGACCTACCCTTGTCAGAAAGTAATCCTTTATGCTCGGGCAATCTTTTGGAAGAGCAAGCACAACATCTCGTAACAGCCAAATGAAGAATGGAAAGGTTTTGTGGAAATAATTGGCGTCGTCTTGCGGACTGGTTCCCTGGGAAGACTCCATTTGGGCCGATGAACGAAGCTGAATTCGCTGGGAAAGTTTAAGTATGAAGCTGTTTTCGAAGTCAAGGAAGTTAGATGTCTTGCAAACTGCAAACACTGAACAAACAAACAAACAATAACGAGGTCACTGCGTACAAGTTCAGAAATGTACACGCTGGGACAGAGACCTCATTATCCCCCCCCCCCCCCCCCCCCCCCCCCCCCCCCCCCCCCCCCCCCCCCCCCCCCCCCCCCCCCCCCCCCCCCCCCCCCCCCCCCCCCCC